CTCTTTCATCATTTTAGTGGATGCTATTATGAAAATGGTTCACATGTAAGAGATTTAATGGTTTGACATTATTTTTATTATATATCTAAATACTTACCTATATTTCTTCAAAGTTAATCACAATCTAAAGTGTTGAAATGAATGTACAATGTATGTATGGATTTTAACATATACACTGAAGATTTACACTTACATTATTCTTTGAAGTTTGTATGGATTCTGAATGGAAAATATATTCTAAATTTTAATGAAACCATTTATTAAACAAAGATATTTAGAACACATGCATAATTTCCGTAAGCACTATTAACCACACCCTCAAAAAGCCAACCCCACCCACCGCTCACAAAGGTATTACTATATGTTTAAAAAATATAAATTATACACATACCTGTAATCAATTTATTTATGCAGTATATATGTTAAAGTTAATTGTATCTTAAGTATGGGTTAATGCTCTTAGTAAACATTTACAAAATTAAATTGGTCAAGAACAGCGCAGGCAATTAGGTCTTTGATTTTTTTTAAAGTTTATTTACTAGACTGATAAATAGTTAGCCGATTTACTAAAGTAAATGTGTTACGATTCATTTAAAACATTGTTATCCTATTGGACAGCAAACAATTTGGAACACTGCCTTACAGAAAGTAGGTGGATCTTCTTTATTGTCCGCTGGCTTACGAAAGGTCGGTGGGTATACATTGTTCTTTAACACCCGCTGGCTTACGAAAGGTCGGCGCTGGCTTACAGAAGGTCGGTGGGTATACTTTAAAACCCGCTGGCTTACAGAAGGTCGGTGGGTATAATTTAACATCCGCTGGCTTACAGAAGGTCGGTGGGTATACTTTAACACCCGCTGGCTTACAGAAGGTCGGTAGGTTATACTTTAAAACCCGCTGGCTTACAGAAGGTCGGTGGGTATACTTTAACACCCGCTGGTTTACAGAAGGTCGGTGGGTATACTTTAACATCCGCTGGCTTACAGAAGGTCGGGGGTATACTTTAAAATCCGTTGGCTTACAGAAGGTCTATGGGTATACTTTAATGACTGCTAGCTTACGGTAAGTCTGTAAATCTATTCTTATTTCCGCTGGCTTGCAGAAAGTCGGGGATCAACTTTAATCTCCGCTGGCTTACAGAAGGTCGGTGGGTATACTTTAACATCCGCTGGCTTACAGAAGGTCGGTGGGTATACTTTAACACCCGCTGGCTTACAGAAGGTCGGTGGGTATACTTTAATGACTGCTAGCTTGCGGTAAGTCTGTAAATCTATTTTTATTTCCGCAGGCTTGCAGAAAGTCGGGGATCAACTTAATCTCCGCTGGCTTACAGAAGGTCGGTGGGTATACTTTAACACCCGCTGGCTTACAGAAGGTCGGTGGGTATACTTTAACACCCGCTTGCTTACAGAAGGTCGGTTGGTATTCTTTAATGACTGCTAGCTTGCGGTAAGTCTGTAAATCTATTTTTATTTCCGCTGGCTTGCAGAAAGTCGGGGATCAACTTTAATCTCCGCTGGCTTGCAGAAAGTCGGTGGATCTAATTTTATGTCCCCTGGCTTACTGAAGGTCGGTGAATCTACTTTAATAGCCGCTAAAGGACAGTTTATGTGCTTATATATCCATATATCCAAATATTAAATATGTGCTGGTTTACAGAATGACGGTTGGTTTAGTTTAATGCCTGTTGACTAACGAATGTCGGTGGACCACTGGCTAGCGAAGTGTCATCATAGTGACCGCTGGCTTACGGAAGACCGGTGAATTTACTATATAGTCTGCTAGCTTGCGAAAGTCGGTGGAACTACTTTAATTGTCCGAAGTACACTGGAGTCCGCTCGAGTCTGTAACCTTACGACCATCAGCGGTGTTTACCTCCACGAACAAAAATGAAAAATCATTGACACCGTATGACTAGCTTTGTTGGTGTTGCTATGAAAATATGAAAATCGTTCAATTTGTTTTTAACTTTACAGAACAGAAGCAGGTGTAAATATTCAACGATACTGGTGAATGTACTTGTACGAGAGTTCAATATTTTGACATCATTCTTGTTTTGCACGAAAAGGCACAGAGGAATGCTTAAAAAGACTTTACATCACCAGGACATTGTGAATGCTTATGTTTCATAGCTTTACGGACATTTATAAAGTAAACACTCATAAACTGATCATCAAAAGTGTATTCTACCTGTTTTCTGTAAACAAACATTACACAAAGAAAGAAACATACACGATGACGCTGTGAAATATTTAAGAATCCCTATAGTCATTTTATTTGTAAATAACTGTTATTACTTTAGAAAAAACATAAATGATATTTGTATGAATATAACGTCTTTAACAAAGAACAGTGTATTATTTGAAATTTTATAATTCATTTACTACAAAATCATAATTACATTGTATTTGTGAGGCACTACATTTTAATGGTTTGCGTCCGGATCCATTGAAATTTTATTTCGCCTGCTGTAAGATTATTTTTTAATTACTTTATGTCTATTTCTATAAAAAACAACATAAACATTTAGTGCCAACTAATTAATAAAAAAGAATTCACATTAACCGTTGCTGTAATGAAATGAAAATTGTAAGATGAAAAAGAATTGTTATTAAGATTGTTGTAAATTCTGACAAAACTAATATGTACATAGATATATAGCTTTGAAGTAAGTCTGTCACATTAAAATTTTTTGATTTTAGTTTTATTTTGATAATAATTTCGTGTTTAATTTCAGTTTTTAGTAGAAACATTATCTCACGTGAGCAACGGTGAACTTTTACAGAAAGAATATCAAAGTTATTCTGTAACTGTTTTATCGCATGGCCATCACGACTTTTTTCCTTTCTCGTTATATTTGCTTTAAATACCCATAGAAATACACCCATTAGATGCCTGGACATAAATAACCATTTGACGAGGTAAGTTGATGCATTTTTTCTTAATGCGAAATATTAATCATCCTTCCAGCTCATTTTCAAAATATAATTAAGGAAACATCGTCGATAAGATCCCCGGTGTATATTTCAGAGATATATCTTAAAAAAAAAAAAAAAAAAAAAAAAAAAAAATCATAATATATCCTAGATGATATTTTTTATGATTTGGAATGATTCTTTGGAAACGCTAAACTTTTTTATAGATTCCTTAAATAGTTTCCACCCGAATATTAAATTCACTTACAATATTTCTAAAAGTTCGGTACCTTTTCTTGATGTTTCTGTATCTAAAGACGTAACAGGAAAAATTGTTACCGATATATTTTGCAAACCTACAAATATGCATCTGTATTTAGATTTTACATCCTCTCATCCTTTATCATGTAAGCGTGGTATCCCGTTTAGTCAAGCTAAACGTTATAGACGTGTCATTTCCGATGACGGTACTTTTAAGCAGTCTTTAGATACGTTAAATAGATATTTTTCTGATAGAAATTATCCTAAAATCTATTATTGAGAAAGCGTTTTCTAAAATTGAAGGCATGTCCCAAAATGATGCTCTAAGTCCTGTCGTTAAAAATACTAGTTCAATAATACCTTTTACTGTATGTTTTAATACATCTCTGCCTAATATTGGTGAAATCTTAAATAAATATTGGGATCTATTACTTTTGTCTGATAAGGTAAGCGTTAAAAATATACATACCAAGTTCAAACCTATTTTAGCATACAGACGTCCTAAAAACATTCGAGATTATCTTATGAGAAGTGCTTTACTTGATCGCACATTTTTATCTAGCCAATGTTTACGAAGTAGATGTTCACATTGTAACAATAAATTGTTGGTTCCCAATTTAATAGCAGCATAACAGGTAGTTCTTTTAATTTACACAATGATGTTAATTGTACTACGCGTAATGTAATTTACCTCATTACATGTAAAGGCTGTAAAAAGCAATACGTAGGTCAGACTAATCAAAATGTATCATGCAGAATGAATAAACATAGATTTGATATAAGAAATTGTGACGTTAATCCAGTTTCACATGTTGCGATCCATTTCGGATCAAACGATAATAAGTGTTCATTGTCAGATTTTTCATTTTTACCTATAGAAATTATAGACAACAACATGGACCGGTTATGTAAAGAATCTTTTTGGATCCATAAATTAAATACTATGATTCCAAATGGACTAAATAATAAAGTATTGTTTGATTTATAATAGGTTACATGAATATTAATATGTTTGTCTATTATCTTATTTTTATTAACACTGTCTAATAGACATCTGTATCACTGTTGATCCATTTTAATTCATGTACCAGCTTTATTTATAGCATAAATATTTGTTTCTACATGTTATCATAGTTTTGCCGCTAAACGCCATAACGTTTTTCGCGCGTTTAACGCGTGTTCCGTTATGACGTCGCTTCCGGTAATTTTATTATGTTTTGCACTGATGAAGGCATATAGCCGAAACGTTTGCAATTAAATTAAATTACTAAATGTTCGTGTTTGTGTGGCTTGTCTGATTATTTTAGAGATATATCTTGTACGCGTATTTTTAAAACTAACGACCATGTAGTGATTTTTTTCTTAACATTATTTCCATCTATTAATAATTACGCTTGAATATTATATTCATACGTGTAGTGATTTACTGAGTGGCTTACTGGCCAGAATCTCCTGTAAAACGAAGGCATTGTTTAAAGTAAAATAAAAAATGAATAATTTGATCATTGTTTAAGATTTGTCCTCGGGGTCAGGATGCAGAAAATGGCGATTACTTTCCACTGGAGTCAACATCTTTATAATAACTGTATTTTCAAGTTTTGAAAGAAAAAAAAAGATCGAGATGATATGTAAATATTTTTTTTGAAAAGTTCTGTCAACTGTGAAATGTCTTGTTTTGTTCTTTTTCAGGTTAACTCACTTTATAATTAGAAAAAAAAATTGGGCATGCACGAGAAAGTATACTGATACCTAACTTAGAGCACCCCAAATTTTTCCAATACTGAAATTTAGAGAACGCCGATCTTCAAAGGAAAGTTGTAGCGGTCATGCGATAACAACAGAAGGAGGCAAAGGGGGAGGGGGATAAGAAGGCGGGGGTGGGCGTGACTTTCTTGCTGTTGGATTAGTTTTCACCTCCTCTTCCTTTTCAATACTATCGGAAGTAACAAAATCAGTTTGTGTGATATCGTCTGCTAAATCTACACTATTGATATAAAAATGTGCAGTTTTACTAGATTTTGTCAATGACTTATTCTCGCTTTCATTTTCAAAATCTTGGTTTGATTCCGCTGTAAAAACTTCGTTTTCGTATTCAGTGGGCGTGACGACAGCCGTGAGGACGTCACATGATCTAGTCAGTGTTTGGTTGACAATAGTTAAGTAATTGCCAAACACGGTGCCTAGAGAATTCCTATGTTCTTTGGAACTAAAATTTAGTTTTTCATATGATGAATTATTATGCTTGATGTTTGGTATTTGTCTCTCTTTGCTGTTTCTTATATGAGGCGAAGTTTCCAGTCTGTCCAAATTTTCGAGAGAATGGCTTCCTCTCATAACTAACACTGGTATCTGCTCGTCACTAGATGATAATTGCGTGCAAACTTTCCTCTTATTATTTAAAAGTTTTCTCACTCCCGAGAATGGGCTACGCGGAAACGACTTTACGGCGTTACTAACATCCGGCCTTAAATGCGCCTCTAAGTCCCCACATGAACGATTAAGTCTTATTTTGGGGCTTGGTGGGAAATCTGTCGAATCGGAAGTTCTTTTCTGAAACAAACGCTTGATTTTTACAAATGGACTACTACTTCTGGGTAGAACTGAATTGTCGTCTGCGCGTAGGTCGCTCATAGATTTGCTTGATTTCATCCCATTGAATGCTTGAGGTCCATTTACTTCCGCAGTACTTTGTGGGCTTCGTGGCGTTCGCTTTTTAACGAAACGTTGTAAAGGGTTGACTGTTTTTTCTGCTGAAACTGGTTTGAGTTTTAACTGACGCACCTGCAATGGATTTAAAGAATTATCTTATGTTATTATTTATTCATTGCTCTCGGCTTGAGTCTATAGAGCTCTTTAATGTTAGTTTGCTTTTAAATCCTGTTTATTCTATTTCAAACAAGGAAAAATTAAACATGTCACATATATAATGTCGTATATACGTTATCCTTTACACTTGAGGAAACGGAACCTGTTTGATGTAGCAAGGTAAGCCTGCGCGTCCTTGCAGAGTGACCAGGTTCTATAATGTTGTGCTGACTAATCATAATGTTGAAAATTGACTGTTCCAAACTATACAAGAATATAGAAGCTTGATTAGTCTATAAAATAAATCTAATTTGAAAAATGTTCGGAAATATGAACGAGTACGTGTATAGGTTAAGACTTAAACTACGACACAATTCAATTGATATTATAATAAAATTACTGTTTCAAGCTGTAAACAGCGTGTTTCCGTATTTGTGATATATTTGAAAAGTATTCTTACTCGTTTAGAACCTTCGAAGGCTGCGTTTCTGTCTTCTGCATTAGCAGCAGACACAACTTTGGCTTTCCTAACAATACCCGGCTTTTCTATGTTCTGAGTCACAGATTTGGGCGGAGCAAACACTCTGTCACATGACACGTGCATTGTCTGCATCATACACACATTTCCTCCCTGCAAATGAAAGGAAAATAGTATTGGTAAGTTTTAATATACATATAATTCAAGCAGGCTTGATTTTTATGTTTTTGGATTTCATGTACATGTGTAATTGTATAAACTGACGGAGTTTCTTCATTGAAATGGTTTATATTAGTATTTTCAGAGTGAATTAAAATGATTTGAGCAACACAAATTGCTGTCAGATTTTATTGTTCAAATAAATTAATGAAAACTATCATTTTTTTCTCGACAGTAAATACCATTTTTTTTATTCTGTTTTACTCTGTTTTCGCAAAATTACTAAACAAATAAGAAAAAACCTTATTCTTACAAAGTAACACTAATTTTATCAATTTAGCCTGATCTTTGGAGTTTGTTTCTCTTCCAATTTGTATGCATGTAAATGATAGTATTTCTTTAACATTTTAGTTCTAAAGTACATCGAGTATGAATACCTGGTACCCATGGATACTATGAAAGCGCGTGCATTTGTAGGGACATGTGACATAAAGAAAACGAAAATAATTAAAAACTTATAGTGAACATTTAATATTTAACATACATCTAATCTTTCCAATGAAGTGTTGATTAATTTCTTTTGTAAATCGTCTGCGTCGTGTAACGCTTCTAGAAGAAGTGCACGTGCGTCTGACATTTTGTCTACCTTTACATTTGCTACAGCAAGATTATTCATAATCTGAAATAAAGCCAATTGTCAAGTATCGAAGCAAATAAACCTGAAAATTTTATGTTAAACTGTTATAATCATACCCGTTAAAAAACTCCATTGAGGTTTTTTGACCTGACGAGACTGGTAATATTTTAGAGTGTGCAAAATTTCAGATCATTTACTCACTCCGTTATTCCAGAATGATTATACTAATTGTGAAATAAGACCCATAACTGAAAGCAGTTCAATACTTTTTCATTCAGATTGGGCTAAGAATAGCACAAAAATACGATTTTCAATTTATTTCAGAGTATATTTCCATATCTTTTTTGTTCCAGTTTAACAGCTCATCTATGTAGGAAATTCAAATTTCAGTGGAGTTCCTAAAAGTATTTCGCTCTGTATAAAGAGGAAATTTTTGTTTAATAGTGTTGCAATAATTAATTTAAAACAAATTTGATGCCTTTAACATAAGAAAATAGTGCTGAACACAACACAGTAATTAAGAAAGAGAGCAAAAGGTATTTTGACTTCCATACAATATATTGAATCGCTATAACTCATTACAAAAAAGGAAAAGTTGGCTCAGATATATGGTTTATGTGTAACTTAATGTTACTTATATAATGACACTTACAAAATAAATAACATAGAACTTTTCGGGCTATGTGGGCCTTTATGGTATGAGTGGCGTTTGTTTAACAAGTAGTGGTTTATAAATCACGTACAAATATTTTAAATGTAGGACCTAGAATTTTTTAAATCACGTGCAAATCTTCCTACCTGAAATCTGTTAAGTCTTATAAGTAGACCTAGTGGTTTATAGTCTATAAACGTGTTTCCTCGTAACAATGCACGTGCCATCTCAAGGTCGGATATAGCCTCTTTCATGCTGGAAAAAATCATAATAACAGATATACATTGTATTAAGCTACATATTTATTATACATGTATATAATATAGACATTGATTTTAACAGAATTGCTGACACATCAAATTTTAATTTTAAGCCGACCCCCCACCCTCTCCTGCTATAACACATTCTAGTCATCTACAAAATTGTTTAAAAACAGTCACTTTACCACGGTGTCTATACCACGTGACTTTTTGTAAGAAAGACAGTTTTTTTAAAAATTTTTTACCATACTTTTGTAGCATTTCATTATATTATGAGATAAAGTGTAGAGCCCGCACATTTTAGTGAGGAACTCATACGTACGATATAATTACAGTCACACCTGTGAACAAAGGTTGTCCAAGGGAGGTACTGAACATGTTCTTATAGACAGGTGGTCTTTATTTGAAGGTCAGTCGGTTTTGAATGGTTTTATTCAATCAAAAATGGGTTTGCGAAGATTGGCATTTATTTACACGGTGGTTTTTTATTCTATTCTGGGGTGGTCTTAAACACATGTTTGACTGTACCGACAATGGGGTTACATATTATTCAAATGTCTTAGGTCAATATTGCTTTACAATAATTGATACATTCATACGAAATTCTTAACCCAGTGTTTATGTTATTACAGGTGTTTACTGGTATAAATCTGTAAATGACCATACCTTTAGGGTGATTTGTATTTACATGATTAATCTTGCATCTAGAAAACTGCAATTAACTATACAGTGAAAGTAATTTTCCGCCATTGTTGTCATTGTAGACAGAAACCTTAAGGCAAAATTGCCTTGTGTTCTTTACATTTCTTTTTCGGATAAACAACGATTGTCCATTTCTGACAGTAGTCAGTTCGGTAATAATAGTCCAAACTATATTTGCCCCTGGCATCCTGCTAATTAGCAAAAAAATAAGACTTTTAACACAATTATACTATTTTATTTGTCAAGCTAGAAATGACGTCCCATGCATGAAATCAAGACTTGACATGATGTCACATGTATGAAATCATGACTTGAAATGACGTCACATGTATGAAATCAAGACTTGAAATGACGTCACATGTATGAAATCAAGACTTGAAATGACGTCACTGGTATGAAATCAAGACTTACCTGTTGCGTTGAAGATATAAGGTTCCTCGTAGGAAGAAAGAGCTAAGTGATTGTCTAGTTCAATAGCCAGGGTCAGATTCTGTTAACAAAGAAAAAAATGTTTTTTGGAAGGCTGAGTAATAATAGCAGCAGCAATAACAATAAATAAATAAATAAATAAATAAATAAATAAATAAATAAATAAATAAATAAATAAATAAATAATAAATAAATAAATAAATAAAATAATTAATTAATTGATTAAATAAATAAATAATAAAACAAATATATAAATAGATAAATAAATAAATGAATGAATGAATGAATGAATGAATGAATGAATGAATGAATGAATGAATGAATGAATGAACAGAAGAGAAATTCCTAAAATGAATGAATGAACAGAAGAGAAAATTCCTAAAATTTCTCTATACGGATATTTTTTGTTTGTTGGTAATTTATTTGTTCAATGAGTGTGAACATTGACGCGTACTACAACTATACATTTTTTAAAAAGAGTTGATTTTTAAGGATTAGATATCCAATGGAATGTGTGTTTAGATTAACTTTTATAACATAAGAAAACATTTATTTAAGTAATGTGTGAAATTCGATACAATAACAAATTCTGTCTTTGTAAAACTTTTATCTCCATTACTTGCTCGTAAATTTCGGAATGTCTCGTCACTTTCCGTGAGTTTAAAAGATTGATGAAGCATTACTTTAAACAGGAGGAACGAACTTTCAAATATATTCGGAACGTCTCGTTAATTACTTATTTACCGAAGTATCACGGAAAATGCCCGAGAATTTAAGTAATTCGTGCCTTATAAGGTTTATTTTTTTATTTCCATTGTTTTCCGTGTTATTTTTGAAAGTCAAATAAGCTCTAATATGACCAAGAGTAAAACAAAACAACATTGTCACTCAAACGCATTCCAAATGAAATACCTTACGAAAGGTTACGATCTTAACCGAATGTAGACGATTTATATATAATAACAACGTTAATATACGAACCAGCTGAAACAAAATTTCTTTTACAGGTGTAATAATATCAACAGTATCAAGGTATATAGTAATTACAAGCTAATGACCTTAAAAAAATGACTTGAAAAAAGATTTTAAGTATTTTGCTGAAATGTTTTAATGATTTTTTTCAGTATTCCAACATTTGTCGAACATGACACCGAAACAAAGACAACTTCATACATAGCTACATAATTTATGTCAGTTAATGTAAAACAAACAAGAACAAGATATATTGAACGAAAATAAAGGAAGGAACCGTAGATTCAATCAACGAAAAGATTATTAAGATTAATGTGTTTTTAAGTAGTCGGGCGGACACTTAATTACAGAAAAACAGATCTTTAAAGCTTTACTGGTGGAGTGAACCTTGATCAGGCACGAGCTTTTACGAAGTAACAAACATATGACCCTCATTAGCTACCAATATACCTTCTTCACTACAATGAATTCCGAGCCATTTTTTTAAGCATTGAGGGGCTAATCATTGAACCAACCGTATGAATAAATATAATAGTTGAAACTAAACAAAACGAATACTTATATATTAAAAATGAACCGAATCTTACCTTTAATAGCTGCAAGTACGTTGTTGAGTTTGATTTCAGCACACGCCATGTTATACCGCATTCTTGCCGACAGTGTTTTTATTTTTTATAATAATTCTCTATTGCCTCATTGTAATTTCCGGAATTATGTAGTTCTACAGCGCTGTTCCATGTTTAGCAGCGTCTCTTTCATTTGCTCATGTTCAACCATCTTCAACTATGATCTAATTTTTATAAGAGAAATATCCGCAAAAAAAAAATCAAATGTTGAATTTTAACCACAGTCTTCAAACAAGTGTTTAAAATAACTTTAAGGCACTCGACAATACAGAGACAATTTGACCATTCGCCTGAGAGCACGCTGATAATTTAAATATAAAATACCGACCCGGGTATAAAAAGGGTTATACAATGTTGCATATATCTTTCTTTAAATCCCTTAGTCCTGCGATGTAGTTTCCGACATACAATTATTTTATTATACAAATAAGATCATATTTCGACTTAAAAATCATCGTGACACGACCCAGGTAAAAATAGAATCTACTGTTTAATGTCCTAAATTTTGACTTTTTTAGAAATTGGTAGTGAAATGCTAAAATAGCATAGTTAACCAAATGAGCCGTGTCACGACAAAACCAACATAATGAGTTTGCGACCAGCATAGATCCAGACCAGCCTGCGCATCCGCGCAGTCTTATCAGAATCAATGCTGTTCGCTTATTAAACCCTATAACAAGTAGAGAAACTGATAGCGAACAGCAAAGATCCTGATCAGACTGCGTGGATGCGCAGGCTGGTCTGGATCCATGCTGGTCGCAAACGCACTATGGTGGTTTTGTCGTGACCCGGCTCAAATGTTCTTGTTCATGTTCTTAAAGCGTGAAAGTAGTAAATTTCACGGCAATGTGATATTACGGTGTGCGTCAAATACCCGCGGTCTATTAAACAATTATTATTGGTAGATAATGTAAAAAAAAGATAACACGTTTTTAAGCCTTTAATTTTAAGTATTCGTTTTGGATTAACAGTGATTACCATTTTCTTACGCATTCAAAAAGCTTTAGAATATATCTGCAAAGACCTTTCACAAATATTGGGAAAAGTCAATTAATTTGACACCTCATGTAATATCCCTTTCTCCATAAATTTAAACGCTTTTTACTCTCAACATAAACCAAATAGGTATATGTGCATTAATAACAAGTATTGCAGTAATGATATAATGTTGCAATAAATGTACTAAGATAAGGTAGTCTTAAATCGAAATCAAATAGATTATCACTTTTCAACTTTTTAAAGGCACATGGTGTCCCAGAAACGAATATCTTTTTCCTTTGTAAGAAAGGGCAAACATGAATTTTATAATGTTTAGATAAAGAGCATGTAAGTTGCTAATAACCCCCAACTTATTGTGAAATTATTTCTCCCTTAAGTAGAAAAAGTAGTGTTTTGATTTCAATACAAAATACTAAATAAATATTAATGTAAATAATAACTGAAAATGCAACAGAAACAAAAGATGGTTCAGGTAAATGGCAAACAAGTAACTTTTTGGAAACTATAACGGCACCAGAAGTGAAACATGTTTTTGTTTTGAAAGTAATAACAATTTTAGGGGGGCATAATGTGCCCTTCAAATAGTTTTAATAGTTTAATAAATTCATAATGTGGAACGTAAATATATGTATATGATATACATTTCGACGGAATTCTCCGTAATTTTCCGCAATTCTCCGCAATTCTCCGTAATTGTCTGAAATTCGCGGTGTCGTGACATGTTTATTTTCAAAGGCCTTCAGTAAGATCAAAATAAAAACTGTCATACTTTCGTATTGAGATATTTCTATTATAGCTATCATAACAATCTAACATGAAAAGTTCATCATAATCTATAAGTTCCAAGCTTCTTTATATTTTATTTTTTAATTTTGAAATGTTTGCCTTTTCTTAGATTTTTTTCTTTTTGAAAAAAAAAGAACATGTAGCTACCTTAATTAATCAAACAGTTGCATTTTATTGTATATAGGCTCTTTTAAACACGGCTTCTATTATATGAACTTTTAAAAATTAGTGTTTATTGTTTTATTTTTTAATATATACCAACTGTTCAAAAACTAATACTTATCTTTAATTTTGTGTTAAACATTGTTTTTTTTTCTTTCTTTGTTATTTTGAATATTTTAGAGTAAAAAAAAAATAAAGCAAATAGTCATCGTAATATTTATTTTATGCAACACACTACAAAATACTGTATCATAGGAAAACAAATGCTAACCTGTTTTGGCTTTGTTAAACTTCACGCCCGCATCTAAATAAATCTCAGAGTATCAGGACTGTGAAAAATTGCGTGACAAAAGGCATATCAATAGAGAAGGGCGATCACCTACACATATTTATAGTTATATGTAAACCGATTTGGACAACCCCAGCAAAAATGAGCCAATCAATGGGCATGCTCTGGAGTGCGGGTAACTAATATCCGCACTCCAGTTAACGCACTGTGCATGTATATGTATACGATTTAACCCTGACACATTTTCAACAGAAAGGTCTCCAAACTATGATACAAGAAAAATGTTACTGTACATACAAACATATTCTATTAATACTCATAAATGTTTCAAACAAAAGCTTTCATGAACGGAAAAAATTATCAAAGTCTTTATAGCAACACTATTTATTATTAATTTGGCTTCTCTAATGGAAATTTCTCAGTCTGATGAATACAATCTAACTTATGTATTAGTCTGTCTTAGTAGCTATCCTGATATACACGCTCAATGTTGAATTATCAAGTTATCCTCTATGATTATTATTATTCAAAAGCATTGATAAAAAATCATGTTTCATTGCTAAATATTTAGTTACTTTGTTAAGTTGGTGGTATCATAGTGCAAGAGTTCGTCTTATTGTAAAACAATTTATAACAAACTGCTTAATTGTTAAATTGCCTAATAAAATATATTTTAAACTGCCACAGTGATAAAACGTATGATGCACAAGTCTCTCTTAAAATCGTAGATACCCTCTCGCGATTCACATACAACACAAAGTTTTATTATCTATTGAATGTCAAAGGTACAAATAGGCACGATTGGTTATTGGTGTAGCGCCGATATATGTCCAAACGTCGAAAAATGTCCAAACGACGATAAATGTCCAAAAATTGACGACAAATGTCTCAATCGCCGATAAATGTCCAAAACTCCTTTAACGATAAATGTCCAAAAATTAACGAAAAATGTCGCAACAAATTAGGTGCTCATAAATGTCCAAATCGGTTAACGATAAATGTCTCAACTTTTCATATGTTAATTGCACTTATTTCTATGATCAACAGTAATGCATCAGCCAGTTTTAAAGGTTTCCATAGGGATTAAAAGTACCGATTTAAGTAGCGTTCTCACCAGCATCCCGGCAAAGCCCAGGACCACCCCAGACGATCCGGGCTGAAAATATTTTTGCAGTCTCAATAACCCCGGTAGCACTACGGCGATACCCTATTTCCATACTTATAACAACCAGGATGAACTCCGGGCCATCCATGCAGAGTCCAGTTGAAACTACGGATAATGCAGATAGTAAATGGACGACGGATGACCTAACACGATATTCAAACGCTGTTAAGTCTTAGATCAAAGAGATCATAAAAGCTGAGATCCATGCTAGCACAGCCCCGGATGATGTCGGCAGAATCCCGGATTATCCCGGCAGAGCCCCGGTACGGTCAGATAGAGTGCCGACAATCACCGGTAGAGCTCGGGAGAGCCCTTGATCATCCTGGACGTTGCCGACAGAGTTACGGACGTACCACGGTCGTTCCTGGATCACCCGACCGACCACCGGGACTCTAGTGGGATGCTTGTGATATTGTTAAAAAGTTTAAGAAATGTATTTGAAAATAAGTTGGATACAGTCTATCTCCCTTACTATTTAAAGGGAAAAAAGTTAAACCGATGTGCATTGTACTGGTGCTTCACACCGGGCACTTAAAAGAACGAGGATCGCCTCTGGAACGGGGCGTCTTCTGTATCATGCACTATCCCCCGAAAAATAATATACTAACAATCTTCAGGGGACGTTGGTCATATGGACAACAAAACTCTTACATATTTCATTCATAAAGCGATAATGTCTTAGTACCAATTAGCATAATATTATTTATTTCCTAGTCTGTCTGTCTGTCTGTCTCTTGTTTTTATCTATATACATTATACTATTTTTGTGTATATCGAACATTTACAGATCAAAATCGCTATAATTGTGAAGTGATGATCTGTATTTTCTTTCAGGCAAAGACTGCTGACCTAAGGGTTTTTTTCGGTATAATAAAATAATATAATAATAATATCGAATATCACCCTCCTAGAATATATTCCCCGGGGAATATTTCTTATATCACCCTGGGGTACATAACTCTTACATAACTCTGTATTGATAAAAACGATAATGCTTTAGTAACCAATTAGCATAATGCAAAATGACAGCCATGTGTTATTTATATAATATTGTTAAGTTAATATTTGACATATAAGTAATTTTTAAATGTACATGTTTGTATCCAACCAGCACAGCAAAAAAACATTCTATTACGTCAAGTGTCTTTTACGGTGGCACAGATGTGACACATGGGTGTCTTTATTTATCTTGTTCACACGAGATATTATCTTGTTCCCACAAGATATTATCTTGTTCCAACGAAATAATTATCTTGTTCCCACGAGATAATATCTTGTTCCCACAAAATAATTATCTTGTTCCCACGACATAATTATAGCCAATCAGAAGCTGTAAAATGGTAATATAGCAGTTACTTCCCCTTATTTAGTTGAACATTTACTTGATTATATATACATTATATTCATGTATAACCATGTAGGTTGATCTTGAAAGTGCCACACTGTAGGGACATACAAAACCTTAACTACCAAATACTGGTGTTTAATAGTGCATACCCTGATCTGGTGACGCATTTGCGTGCAAACTGATCTGGGTCGACACTGGAGGGATACATGTTAGTAGCCTTTCAAAACTCTGTATTTATAAGGCGGTGGCCCCGCAGTGGCGTTCAGTCCACCACGCGCGAATGAGTAATAATCAAATACAAATGTCTTAAATCAATTTAGCATGAGAAGGACCGTCCTCGCAGCACTTAAGGGAAAAGTCACAAAACCCATTTAACACGTGTTGCGTATATGCTTATAACGACCATTGTCGAACCATATCCCCCTACAAGCAAATGCGTCATCCTGTCAAGGTCTGCACTCTTCGCTGTTGAATCAGTAGGTCAGATTTTAACTGTCAAAGCAGTTAACCCCTTGATTAGCTCACATGGACACGGACACTTAGACACTCGGACGGACAGTGGCAACGCTATATGGGGCACAAAAATATTGAAGAACACAAACAATGCTAAAACGTGTTGCTTCGGTGAGTTAAGAAGGCACATGCCCCCCCGCCCCATCCGGACCTGCAACTGGCCATGCACAATAATGTATGATTCATTTTACGTCGGGGGTAAACCAGAGGGTAAAATCACGGGTTAGTTGGATAGACTGTTACAGTGTCCAATACAATAAATTACAAATTAACATATGAAAAGTTGAGACATTTATCGTTAACCGATTTGGACATTTATGAGCACCTAATTTGTTGCGACATTTTTCGTTAATATTTGGACATTTATCGTTAAAGGAGTTTTGGACATTTATCGGCGATTGAGACATTATCGTCAATTTTTGGACATTTATCGTCGTTTGGACATTTTTCGACGTTTGGACATATATCGGCACTACAATTGGACATAATAAACCAAATTCAGTTTTTATCTTGTCGATCATTAATTTAATGGACACATAACTGTAGTTTTGAGAATATGTCATCTTCAGATTTCATGTTGTTTAATAATTAACACGACGGGATTAATGTAACTCTGATTATTACTATACATTTTGAGATTAGAACTTTTTTTCTTCAAAATAACAATGAACATGGTGTATGCTTATTATTAAAATTAACTTTTAGTTCATAGAAGATTACAAATGCAATCAGTTCCATGCTTTATAGTTAAATATACTGTCTTTCATTTTCTCATTTGTAATTTTCTCGAACTCTTCGTTTTGTGCAACTGTAAAATGATTCTTCCAGTCACCAATGATACCTGAAAAGAATCGAAATCAAATGTTGATACATATTTGTGTTAAATATGATAAAACGTCGTTTATAATTTTGCAAAAGGTTCTTTTATAGATTGTAGTATGTGTTCTTTTCATCTGTGTATTCCAATCTATACAAACCTGAAATTTCCTTCTTTGTTTTGCATTTATTTCCTCCTAAATAGCGAATAAATATATTGTGGCATTATTTGATTAATATTTTAAGAGCTACAAAAAAAAAAAAAAAAAAAAAAAAAAAAAAAAAGAAAAACAATCATGGAGATTAATATTTGATAATTTGATTTCACTTGAAATTGAACATACTTTATTTCAAAGCACCGGTATTTTGACAAGACATGTTTCTTAAGGCATCAACAGCATATTACGCCAATTAACTATTTCAACTTAGAATTAATTTATAATAATTTTTGAAGAGAAATGTAATCTTTTTTATGCTATACTGCGGATGATCACTTCACCAAAATCGCACAATAGGCTCATAAAATGACATCTTGAACGATCGGTAAAACAGTAAAATTAAGGTAAGCATACAGTTTACGTTAACATTATACGTAAAACAAGGCCGCACAGAACAACGCACTGAACTGTTATCGGTAACTTTGTAGCTTTCTCTGTTTAGGCTTGCTTTTTGTAGCATTTCAAAAACAAGGCCGCACAGAACAACTGTATAAAATCCACGCATTGTTCTGTTATTGGTAACTTTGTAGCTCTCTCTGTTTAGGCCTGAAAGTCGAAAAGGCTATTTTTGTTGATTAGCACAGTGGTGCAACAGTTACTAAAATGCGTTTTTTTCATTTAAAGAAACGCATTTTGAGCAAAACTGGTAATGCTATCTTCTGCACAATTGTAAGTTTGCGCGTCATAACAATTTCCATCCTTTGTAAAGTTGCATAACGAAGTTATACATGTACATCAACCTTTTCGGCTTTCAGACCAAAATGGAGATAGTTAAAAAAGAAACCAATGACAGACCAGTGCGTGAACTTTATACAAATGTTCCGTGCGGCCTAATTGAACGTTAACTGTATGCTTACCTCAATTTTACTGCTTTTATCGGTGTTCAGGCCGCTGTTTTATGAGCCCATTGTGCGATTTAGGTCATGTGCTCACTACATTACTATGAAATATCAGCTGCCTATTTCTCAAAACAGATTTTTATTTTTTATTCGGAGATTGTTCATACTGCTTTTGTAGCATTTTAAAATATTAGAACATTTCCTGTTAAATGGTCTTATATCTTAGAAACATCTTAATTTTCGAATTTGCGCATCAAATCATGTTAAAGAAAATTTTAACTATTTGAAAATTTTCATTTTTTTCCCTTACACATATAAAAGAATAATATGTACTTATGCATTGATAATGTAAAATATCCATCATTTTGTGTGAAGATCGTCTATATTCTTGAGTCAAACAAAAAATGATAAAATCTTGCTACCATTATTGTTAAAGTTTTTACCTTTCCTATAAAGCACCGACTTTCCTTTATCATCTTTTAGACTTGTCTCCACCTTTCCACTTTCAACGTCATTTCTCAAATAATCGATTGAACATCTATTTATAACTTCTTGTAAACGCTCATCTGAGTGATTAGTACCGAGATAATTCTGTATACGGCGAACCTCGTGTAAACTGTTCTGTAAATTTAATGCAGATTTGAATTATTCTGTACACGCTGAATCTATTAAAAACTGTTCTGTAAATTTGATACATATCAAATTTATTCTGTCTACGGTGAACCTCGTATAAACTGTTTTGTAAATTTGATACAGATATATATATTATCAGATATATATTAGATTCTATAGAAAATTAAAGCAATATATCGATACTCTTATATATATAGATATATTTATGATGAGGGAATATGCTAGTATAATACCATATTAACAATAAGGTTTCTGTTTATCATTTCTCATTCTGATCTTTCGTTATTTCAGATTTTAAGTGTTTACTTCTTTACAGATTTTATTGTCTCAAATCGTTCTGTATTTTGATTCTGACGTTTGTTTTATCATTTGTTTAGGATTTATAGTAATGAACAAAACGCCAATAGGTTGTACAGATTTTTATGACAGGACAGTCACGCTCGACCAATGAAATGCTATGTTATAAATGTGCAATATTATGGATAGAAATTAACAAATAAAACATTGGAAAATAAATAAATGTTAACCTTTTTTAGATCTTCATACTGAACAATAAGGACATCCATTTTTGGATTAGTTTTGAGTTCCGCTTGCCATTTATTGTAGTAATCAAAGTACGATCCAAATAAGACTGAAACAAAACTAAATTTTCAAAAACTATTGCACAAATGTTGATAATTGTGAAATCTAGATGCAGAAAAAACGCAATTCACGACGAAGTAGGAACATATACATTCTTTTACATAAATTACACTTCTGTTTACATGTATTTCAATTGTTATAATCTTTTTTAAACTATGTAAAATAACTATTTGTTATTCGTATAATGCACCACTTTTATTAAATACGACATTTTGACCATTTGTCAAATGACATACTTTTTCCTTCAAGCCAATAATTAAGAAACTTGTCCCATGATATATTGAAATCACCAACAACTTTCTGTTTTCGCATCATGTAGTACATCGAGACGGCTGAGTCCTTTGGGTTCCTGAAGACAAGAATAGTTTTTCCGCCGTTTGCAAAATGGTCTCTTGGCAGACGTTTTGGATGTAGGTGTGATGTTAAAAGTCTTCTGTTTTCATGTTTTTCAGAGTCTTTTCTGTCAAATAAATCTATTAGCCATCCATCATGTGAAACCTTATCTTCTAACGGACCGTCGGGCTGCTGAAGAAAGTATATGAGATTGGCTACCCAGTGTGTTCCTACAATGGATTTTGTTTCTATTGATTTCATAACATGACAGTATGTGATAATGAAGAATAATAACTCAAAATTGATACGGTGAAGATTTGACAAAATAATACAAACGATTTAAATATGAACTTGAATATTGTTTACAAACATTTTTTTTAAATTTAGAATATAGCTCTTGGTATAAACACATTTTACTTTTAAAAATCGGGCATACACTGAGTATCTAAAGTATATATTATAAATAAAGGCACGTAAGTCTTTTAAAATGTACCAGTTTCCACAATAATCAAACACATTAAGAAGTAAAATGGAAGCTGAAAGTATATAGTTCAATACTTTTGTTTAATATAAACAGAAATATGACTCTATTTATGTCATGTTTTGTAAACTTTTAAATCAAAATAATAAAATATCTTGCTAATTAAAATCAAAATTTGACCTGTTTTCGGATAGCTACATATCATTACATCACCGCTCTCATACTGGAGATTCTTTACAAATGAAAGCCTTTTTAGTACAGCCCCTTCACTGTCGAAAAAGGGCATGGGAAACTTAATTCCACCGATGTCAATCACCTTAATTTGTCCACCGTCTTCGCTCTCAAGAATTATTACCTTACTCGTTCCTGTCTCATCATGCTATGATATAGAAGAAACTACTTTAATACATAATAAGACAGTTATATTTCTTAGAAGTGCTGGATTATCTTTTTTTAAAACGAAAATAAAAAAACATTAAAACAAGTTTTGTCAAAATAGAAAAAGAAAATTAATATTAACAATGATATTTAGATTTAGTTATGTCCGGATAAAATAAACATTAACCTTGATATTTGGAGAATTTCGGACAAATTTAAAATAGTGAGGACATTCTATTTGAGTATAATTACACTATTTTAATATAAACCTTAACTGTTTTAATTGACAGTTTTTGTCTTAAAATTAGTATTGAATTATTTCTATTCTTCTGTGAGCATGAAATTTGATCAGTGTGAAGATAATCTATAATAAAGTCATATAATCTACCTATGTTACCATATTGAATAGCTATCCCAAACTATGTGCATTACTCTGACTTTTTCTATTATTTTTTAAGAATATGTAATATTAACCTTAGGAAAGTAAGTGTTCTATTTATCACTTTTATTCTTTAATATGATAAGTGTCAAATGCCCAGTCTTTCATAAACATCATGTTTTATTTCTCTCATTTAGTTTTACTTTATCATTGTGGACAAACAATTACAAGTGGAGATAGGTGTTGAACTTACAACTACCGCTTTGAACAAAATCTTTTAATTCATTCCTCCGCAGGGTATTCCTTTAAAATAACGGCTTTAAGTTTGAGTTCACTTTTAATTTGCATGTGTTTGTGCTATACAGCAACGTATTTTGGCATGTATGACGCTAAGACCCTTTCAAACTATGACTCAAAGTAAAAGAAGTAAAAAACAGAACAAAACTTCTTCCGATCCCATACTTTATTCAGTGTCCTATTTCAATTTCAGTACAATAATTTCTCTCTATAAAGACCACTAACGGGGCTGACTTAAAGTGGTCTTAATAGCAAATAAGAATATTAGAGCTTATGCAGTTCAACTAAACTGAATGTTTATGTACTCTTGTCTCAGACTTTGATTTAGAGTTTTCTTTAATATGTAGATTTTGAACATTTTAATTCAAATTTGTTACTTTTGTATTTTCATGATACAATTTTTGATAAACTGAATAAGCAATGATTGTAAGTGTCATAAGAATGCAACTAAAGATAATCTGAGGTCTATCGGTTTTTCCAAAACATTAAGTAAATGATTTTGTCGACGAAAAAGTTAACAGGTTCGATATGAAACGTTACAGCTACATAACAATAATTGGAGCACATGTGATTTAAAATTGCTTTGCATTTGTCTGTCAGTCGGTTCGTAGACCAAATGGTTTCCGAGTGATAACTAAAGAACGCTGAGGCTTAGGAACTTTTAACTTGATATGATGATTGTTTGTGACCAGTGGATGACCCCTATTGATTTTTGGGTTTAAGGGTCCAAGGTCAAGGTCACATTGACCTTTTACGTGAAAACATTTTCCGTGTTATAACTAAAGAACGCTTAGGCTTAGGAACTTCAAACTTGCTTTGATGATTGTTCATGACCAGCAAATGACCCCTCTTGATTTTGGGGTCAAGGGGTCAATGGTCAAGGTCACATTGACCTTGTCGGTAAAAACGGTTTCCGATAACTAACTTAGGCCTAGGAATATCAAATTTGGTATGATGATTGGTCTTGGCCAGTAGATAACCCTTATTGATTATAGGGTTAAAGGTCAATGTCATATTGACCTTGTATGTAAAGACTGTTTCTGACCAATAACTTAACAACTAAAGTTGTCTTTAAATCCTTTTAATATACACATTTCAAGGTATTATGTTTTATGACAACTTGGCTGTCATTATGAGCCTACATTATTCATAATATTCAAACATAAATTATTTGGTAAGATTTGAAATAACTTTGTAATAAAATTGCTGCATTTAACCTTTGCGGTCACAGTTACCTACTGACTAGTCATGACCATGACCACTAGGTCAAAATTCAGTCATAATAACCTGATCACATGACTAATTGGCTGCCGATAAGGGGCTTATACAAACATATCTTGTTGTAATATACTACCGATATATCATCGTTGCAAATTTAGTCAATATTTCTCTATCTGCTCGATAAAGTAACTCTTCCAGAGCATTGACATTTGGATTTGTAATGAAAACCTTTGATGTTTTCATTAACATTTAACATGCTATATTTCTATCGTTAATGACTACATCATTACACGTAGTACATGTGTTATTGTAAACATACAGTTTTTAAGATAACATTTCGTAAACTACCCAAAACAGCTTTTTTGAAGTTAATTTTGCATATGTCTTTAGAATACTAAATGGGAGATTAAACTTTAATTACTCTTTCCGTGAAGTTTTTTTACATAAAATATTATTCTATTGTATATTTGTACAACGGCAGCATCATATGTTTGTTGTTTTTATATTATCCTTAAACTGATTAATATTCATTTTTAACCTACATTATTTACCTCATAAAGACGGGTTTTGGTGGCTTTTGCCCCCCTTGAGGCATCAAACGGTGGAACATGCCCTATTTAAGTCCCAAACACTTTTTTTCGTTTGAGAAATGTTGTTATCAAGGGGTTGCCATTACTAGAAGGACGATGTACCCCCCTTCTGTTTATTTTTTTGGGTGGGTGGGGGGGGGGGGGGTTAAGGGGAAAGCAGTCCCCCTCATCGCAAAGAAAATGCTTAACATGTGACAGGCTAAAAATGGGTTCAGGTCGATCTCAGGGTACTAAGTAACCAACACTGAAAAGCCTTTCACTCTATCTCAATCCATTGAGAAGTTGCAATCAGTTTTAATGGAATAAAAACACTACCAAATAGTATTTTTGTCAATTTTGGCACGTCCCCCGTTGCCATGGTAATAGGAAAATTACGATTGAACATGCTGTTATAGAGGCTATGGTATAGTCAACATTTGTGCCAAGTTTCATCAGTATTGAAGCATTTGTTATAGTTTCATAGCAGTTTGAACTTGTAATAGGATGCGTTTCAATTAAAACAGCCATATTTCACAATATGCTCATGCGGTAATAGGTTAATATATAATATCTTAAATACATCTTCATTGTGCTACATAATCAACCTTCAAATGTATGTGCATTTATTACTATGATCTGTTACATTTGGATATTTAAAAGATTTTTAATCTGAAATCAATGGTTAAACGTTTTGCTAACAAAAGTCATTTGTAATATTATAATGTGACTTATGAAGATAGAAAAAACATATTACCTCACTGGTTTCCGCCATAGTTGAATAGTGCAACTTATTTTAATCCAAGGTTGTTCAACCTGCTTGATAAAATTAATTTGTCTCAAGTACACTTATACCATTGTGTTATATACACACATGCTATCGCATTTGCCCCTGATACAAATGTTCTAGATGTATTAACATATGAGGCACGTTTGACCTTTTATCTTAATGTAGGATATGTCAAGACGTGAAAATCATCTAAAATAATACACGCGGATGCACATCCAGTCTAACTCATCTGAATAGCTTGATATACGGTTTATTATTTTACATGTAAAGCACTTTCAATATTCACCTTCAAATTGAATAGAAAACACAACTTATTTGATTTATTAATTACTGAACTGTAACAGTTATAAATTGAAGAGTTTAAAATGGTTTAAATAGCTTGTTTCAGTAATTCTATCGTCTTAATTTCTTGTTAGTGAAACAATTTTCAGACACAAATATTAAAATATTCATCAACACAATACAAACAAAACCCTTTTCTTATTATGAATGAATCAGTTTCGAAGGTGTAACAGTTCATTGGAAGTATTATTGGAAGAATAAACATGTGTTTAATTGTTTTGAAAATAAGAATGATTCCAAAGTATCTTTCAAAGAGAATATCATGATGACAGGCAACGGACAAGTAAATATATCATAAACTTATTGTTCAAAAAATATTTGTGATATTTTGTAGTGAAACAACATGGGTCGATGAAACCTGAAGCATTTAATTGTGATTACTTGATTATCCTATGCGCTGGTGAAATTCAAATATAAATCGCACATAGCATGTTTAAGATTTTTGAAAGTAAAACGAATTTCACGCAATCTTACGTTTAGCAAATTGTCCAACACATTAAATATTAAATAGATTATTTATTTCAGACAATAAAAGAATAAACAAACTTGTTTTTCAAAAACATGGGTCGGTGTATGGAAGTTTTATGTTGATAAATTATGTTCCATAATCGTGTCAAATGATTCGCTATATATATCTTGGAATACGTATTTTTGTTAAAATATGCACGTGCTTGTATTCGCGTGTTGTATTTTTTACCCTAAAACAGAAACTGCCATTCAAAGGACTTCAATGTTCCTTTGATTGGAATAGGTTATGGATGATATATTTCATATATTTTATAAAAATTCCGGCTCAAGCATTATTGCTATCTCAATTATCCATTTTATCACATAAAAGGTGAGGGATCATTTATTTTGATGCAACTACATGTAATAACTTGTAAGACTTTCTATATTTCATAATATTGAATGACGAAGAGGTCGGAAAATTATCTTTTCACCATACACAAGAAACACAAATGTTTAATGGGTAAAATTACCATATGACCCTTACAAGAAAACGTTTGTTATGCAGATACTCCTTTTATTTACAAAATAAACTTAAATATTGTTAAAGTTTTTTAGATTGTTGTTGTTGTTAAAATGTCTCAATACTTGAAATTTCTTAAAATAGTTAGGTAAAGTTTATAAACTAACATAATAAATGGATTATACAACATAATTTACAAGTTTGACGTCAACCTCTTTTAGAAACTAAAACAGATAAAATCACATGGCTGAAAATTATTTCAAAACAGAACAAAAACTAAAATCATATACGTAGATTTGTAATTCACAGAAACAAAATCAGTTCCACGCCTTATAATTGAATATACTGTTTCCCATTTTCTTCTCTGCTATTTCCTCAAATTGTTCATTTTGTGCAACTGTAAAGTGATTCTTCCAGTCTCCAATAATACCTGAAATATGCACATAAGGTTACTTCAATTTATATGCAACCAATTCAACCATTTTAAGTGCAATGTTTTTGGTTAAGACGCAAGACGCAACTATTTTATATTCTTGACGAAACTATTATTACATTAATCTTGAAATGACTGGTCTGTAGGTCTATTCAGTCAAAAACAAAGTCCCGAGACCGATAGATAAAATAACTTTTATTTACGTCTCTAGTTACGTGTTTACGTGGAATTCATTCTACTACAATGCAATACAACCCTTTAAGTTATAGTCTTCACCTTTCCTACAGTAGTGCAACCACGTTATATATCGCCTCCTGCACGCATTACTATTTGTGTACCACGACGTGTATGTTCTGTCTGATGAAATAACATCCGACATTGCAGGTGTAAAAGAAATAGATGATGGGCAAGTGATCATTTTAAAACATGGATTTAATCCACCAGATCGTAGACTGCTTTAACTTTTAAGCCTGGCTTTTCTGGCTGTTCATCAATGATATTAGATACATCTTGTTTGGAAAGGATGGGGAGTCAATTCCAGACACGACTTTGATTGCTTGCAATCTTTGTTTTGGAAAAAACGCTGATTTAAGGTACAAACTGGAACTGAATCTCAAAAACTACGTCTGTGTTACTGTTCAAACTGATACCTTGTTGATGTTTTTTATTCAAAAAAATGCTCTCAGTACCGATTGACTTTTGTGTCTTTATCTTAGTAATAGCTGGTGGTAAATCATCGTCAGGAGCTGCACAATCGGCATCGTCAATTGGAATTTCAGGTTGCTACTTTTACACAATTAGGATTTTGTGTCAGGCTGATATCGCTGGCACTTTTGAATTGACGGATAGTGACCAATAAGGACATTGTGGCAGGGGCAGTCCTAGCTCATGTCAAACATACGTACACAGACGCGGATTCTTAATAAGGAAAATGTATAGCAGGACTCAATCAAGAGACATATTCTCGGTTCTCTGGACGACGTACATAATTTATTGATGTGTAAACAGAAAACGATATTGAGACCGTTTAAAACAAAACAGAATTACAATAAGGAAGGACAAACGTGCGTTCGTCAAGACGGTGAAAAATTCTAATATGGGTCCTAGATTCTTTATATTACCGAATTTCCTTATTGATCTTGTTTATCATACTCTATGGTTTCTTAATATGCATTAAAAACAGTTTCGATCAGTATTTGTTCTGCGTGAATGCAAAGATATGTACTAAACATATCTGTGAACACCTGTTTTACTGCGGAGTCACGAAAGCCAGACATTGTTATTCGATAGTATAGTTATATAACTAGACACGCTTTTGTATAAAGGAACAAGCTGCTTCACTGCACATATATTTTAATACATGTACCTTTCCTGTATAGAACAGACTTTCCTTTATCGTCGACAAGATCTGATTTAACCTTTCCAGTGTCTACATCGCTTTTCAGTTTGTTCAATGAACACCTGTCAATTACAGCTTCAAGACGCTTTTCTGTCAGGTTTAAACCAAGGTAATTCTGTATGCGGCGTACTTCATTCAAACAATCCTATAAATAAAGGTTTTGTTTCTCCTTTGGGATTCTTAACATCTTTGTTTGGTACCTTACCTTACTGTTGAAATATTGTTCAAACAGTTTCAGCCCTAAAGTACAGTCAAAGCTTTGAGAAATAAAATTATTTTAATCATTAAGAAATTGTTATTTTTAAGTGTAAAATTGTTAGTTTTCATGGCCTATAAAGTTTACATATTTTATCAATTTTACATTTATATAATTTGCTTAAACTATCCAGATTTCTTTTTTCCGTAAAGAAGAAACTCGGGTGCCTACTTTGTGCATTGTTTCAGGCAAGAGCCGGCATATGAGTAGAGTAGAATTATATCTTTTTAAAAGCATGGGCAATTGATTTCTGCTATAAAAATCATCTTTACCTTCTTTAGTTTTTCGTACTGAACAATAAGTATATCTAAATTTGGATTTCTTTCGAGATCTTGCTGCCACTGGTTGTAGAAGTCAAAATATGAGCCAAATATGACTGTAACGAGAACATTTTAAAATTAGTTGAATGAAAGCACGTATATCAGTCCGAACAAAACCACTTTTATTAAATAACTAAGATTGCCTCCCAAGCATTTCTTCTTTTTTTATTGTTCTACAATAAAGAATATATCAAACCTATTTAACTTTTTATGATGATAGTATTTATGACCTTTGTAAATAGAAGAGGTCATACCTGTGTTGTTAAAATCATTCAAAATCTTTATAACAGCTGTTGATTTATATTTTATAGAACTTAGCTCGTTTTCTACATATTGAGGTCAATTTTTTCAAATATAGTCTTGTAGTGTTTATGTGAAAATACGATTTTCTTTCTTAATTGTATTAAACTAAAGTAATGAAAAAACACGAAAGATTAAATTACATGAACCTTACTTTTCCCGTCAAGCCAGAAACTAAGAAATTTGTCCCATGACAAATTAAAGTTTCCTACAATGTTTTGTTTCCGCATCATATAGTACATCGAGACGGCCGAATCCTTTGGGTTCCTATAGATAAGAATAGTTTTTCCACCTTTTGCAAATTGATCTGTTGGAAGGCGCTTTAGTGTGTAATGCGTTGTTAAAATTCTTTCTTTACGTCTTTTGTATTTATCTTCAATGTCATAATAATCAATCAGCCAAGGAGAATGAGAATCGAATTCGTCTAAAGGACCGTCGTGAAGAAGGTAGTGTACAAGATTTGACACCCAATGTGAACCTAAAATTATAAATGTGATTGTTTTACAATAAATAATAGAGTATAAATATAAAAATACAATATGATGAACATGATGAATTTAATATCCAAGGAATGGTCATGCTAACAATCCCTTAAAATGATACAACTAAACAATTGAATAAAGACTGTTATATAATAATATAACTAACGACATATTTGCTGATACCAAAGTGATTGACCTTAGCCCCCCCCCCCGGTTAGGCTAGACAATCCATTTAACACATTCAAAGATAAAGCAACTCAAGGATTTTTGCATGTGATTATTGTGAAACTCACTTTTTTGTTACTTTCAACCAAAATATGAAGAAAAGCAAACTAACTAAAACAATCCCTTTACATGTATTAAAAAAACGACTTTATAACAATGTTATGATATTTTGTTTTGAATAAAAAATCATTACCTGTTTTAGGAAAGCTACATATCATCACATCTCCACTTTCGTACTGAAGATTTTTGACAATAGACAGTCGTTTCAGTACACTTTCTTCATTCTCAAAATATGGCATCGGGAAAACCATACCATCTAGTTCTAGAACTTTGAAAGTCCCGCCATTTTCATCGTCTAAAATAAATTCCTTACTTCTACCTTTGTCATCATTCTACGGAAATACAATATATAATCGGGCGTAAAATGACAAAACACAAAGACAGGTAAGTAACCATTATATAATTTTCCACAGAGATACACATTTTTAAACATTATAATGTGTTAAAACATTGAGAATATTTATGAATTGTTTGCGCTTTGATCAAATACTTAGTTGAACAATCAGACTTCACTTGCTTCTCACTGCTGTGGGTTCGAATCCCGACAGGGACTTTGAATTATTTCATGTGAGAAAGGTATCCAGCTAGTGTACGAAACGTTGGTGGTTTGACTTAAGTACCAGTTCGTGCCTGATATAATGTACGTAAGGGCACCTGAGGTTTTCATCCATCACTAAAGCTGGAACGTCGCCATGGGACCTATACTGTGTCTGTGTGGCGTAAAATCGTATATAACAAACAAACAAACTTAACATACCTCCATAGTTTTTGACATTATCAAAGTAAATTCCTTTTCCAGTTAAGAATAGAGACGCGTCCTGCTTCGAGTAATACGTTTATCATTTAAACATGGGATTACACGCACTCACACTTTAATCAAGATGAAATATTATCAAACATGACCTTGGTCGGTGTGTTAAGATTTTAACCAGCTTGATAAACAACTGCGTCGGGACGTTTTATTAACATATCATTTATCTTGCATTATAATAAAAGCTATAAGCATCTTATTAAAACGTTGTCGAATAATTTAGATATAAAAATTATTAAAAAACTAATTGTATTTCTGTTATATTTTCTTGAAAGTTCAGTCATTTCAATTGAGTTAACAACCTTGATTTTTTCATCGATTGCTTCGTGTTTGTTGTTGTTGTTGTTGTTTAAGAATAAAAAAGTTTATTACATTTCGATTTTTTTATTACATTTCAGAACGTCATCTGAATTGTAATAACTTTTGGCAGTTCACCCAGTTTTGTAATAAAATTGTTACACTTAAATTTTACTGTTACTCCTACATTTTCATTTATAAATATCAAACAATCAACATCTCTTATAACTGATGTTTAACGATATTCATAATAAGTAGTTGGTTTGGTCATTGGTTCTTTCTTATTCGTGTTTGTTGTTAAAGAATTATTTTAGAAAAAGACAACTTTCAGAACGTTCCTCACATTTTGAGTTTTATTACATTTCTTGGTTGTCAACTCAATTGTAAAAACTTTTTTGGCAGTTCAAACGGTTTCTACAACTTTTCTGTACACAAAAGCAAGCAAAATTTCTTTATTGCTATTATATCGTTAGTAAAGATGATTTTCAAAAAATATATTATTTGATGGTCGTACAGACAGTTTGTTACATTTAACGATGTCATTACGCTTTAGATTGCTTATTTAGGATACTATATGGACAATTTATCAGGAATTGTATCAAGATTGTAACATTTAAAGGTACGTCATCCTTCCTTTATTTATTCATATTATCAATAAATTAACATTAATGTGACCTTAAAAATCAATTTTCCATGGTGTCGTAGGAATAAATAGAGGATATTTGTTTGTTTGTGTGTAAGATGAAATTTTATTTCATCGAGTGGGCTTTAAAAAAGGATTCTCACGAGTGGCGTAGCAACAAGTGAGACTACTGTTTTTAAAGTTCACGAGATGAAATAAAATTACATCTTACACAACAAACAAACAAATTTTCTTTTTATTTTATGCTTAAAAACAAGTTCAAAACGAAATTTCCTTAATATTTACGTTAATATTAAAATCTGTTTTCCCCATTGAGAGCCTCAAAAAAGTCGAATTTCTCATTTAATACAAGAAGTCATGGGCTGAAAAATTAGTTCCACAATCAACGTCAAATGGTGGTGATAGTATTCATTTTATTATAAAAAATATGTCTGATCGCTTGTTTAAATAATAAAAACAAACACTTTTAGTTGGAGAAAAAGTCCAACAATCCATCCATATTTCTGTTACTGACTGCGAATTTATATTAGACTTTGCTTTGTTAAATGTAAGCGGCCGCCATTTTTAAAGTTGTGTATTTCACTGGAAGAAAATAATTGTGTTTGATTCAGAGGGATATCATTTGGATTTCTTAGTCATACACCTTTTTAAAAGAAAGAAAACTTATTTGAGGATTGTAACAGACAATAAATAAGTGTTGACAGATGTGTAAACATTAAAAAAAGTGGATACTTTGAAAGCCTTACGAACGCTGGTTTTTTTTTTACATATTCTTCGACTGAAAGCTGCCATTGCTTTTCAAGTTTTCATGAAGCATACGGCAGTTATTGCTCGTAGGATACTTAAATTTTCCCAAATGTCATCAAGAGCAGTTATGCATGTGGAAGGAATGATTTTTCAGACTGTAAAAATGAAACAAAAAATTAAAGAGACGATATTTGGTGATTGCTATTTTGAATGAATAGAAGTAACATACTGTAAGTTTTCTTCTTTTTATTACTTTTGACATATAAGTTATTTATCAATTTCACTTTGACATTGTCGGAATAGTCAGAAAAATAAAATTGAGGTACATTGGGAAAATCTTAAAAAAGTAGTTTCGTCATTGAAAAGTGTGAAATGATATTTTGATAATTTTCACTGTGAAATTATCAAATATAATTTTCACGGATAAATCAGTAATCCACTGAAAAGCATAAAATAAAATGTGCGTATTTTAACGCATAGAATGTATTGCATGTCAAGTACTTTAAATAATGCAGGTTGTCATCACCTTTATGATACCATTTCTGCATATCAAATTTGAAATGTATTTTCTTTTTGTTTTAATTCGCTTCCATGTAAGTTTTATAAAAATTCCGATTTCGAGCCCTAATTCGTTTTTTTAAACACCATGTATGTGAAAGAGACTTTTCTTACCACATTTTCTTGTGTTTTGACCGTTAAATACACTTTCGGGCTTTATTACAATTCAGGTTGACAACCTAAATGTAATAATATTTTGCATCCTAACCAATGATAATTTTATTACAATTCCGGTTTTATTACATTTCAGGCTCTTACAGTGATTTGTCATTTAGTATAATATGTTGTTATAATAAGAAACTATAAGACCTTCATATGAAAAAATAATTGGAGTATGTAAAAGGGCTGAGTGGTTTGACGATAAATGTCGACAGGCTAAGCTTTTTTTTTCAAAATTCACTTTCTGTTTTTAATATCCACAAAAAGCCGGAGAAAATAGTGCTGAGATATTGCATTTTAAACGTATGTATATCAAAGTGCTAAAAGCACTGGATGCAAAGAGAATTGGATAAATGCTGTCAAAATAGGATCTAACAATAGTCATGTTGAACTAAGAAATTTTTATATTTGAAAGGGCTGTAAAATCCTATGCTTGAGTTTTATGGGGGTTGTATAGAGACTTCCAATTTTGACTCAAAGACATGTTAAAGGTTTCATGTCAAGTTTTTTCTGTTTTCCTTCGAAAATTGATGTTATATTTCTAACTTTTAAATGAATACCACCAGTAAATATAGCCATGTCGTTCTAAAGATTGATTTTCTTGCAAAAGTTTAACCAAGAATTATCTAACCTCAAAAAAGCTTATTACTCTGTTAATTAATTGTTCATTTAACCTTCATTTATGATCCCAAAACCACATACATTTACATTTGGTTTCAAATAAATGCCTTCAGTTCTAAAAAAATGATGTAACATACTAAAACTTAAAGGACTCTTAAGATTTTCTATTTGTTTCTGAGTAAATGTCTTAATTATATTTTGCTAATATTTCTGTTTTAAGTGCCCCATCTGATTTATGGAAGAAATTTTAATTTTGTCACTTTGACCAAGAAAATCCGAGCTCACTGAGGGTTAATTATCAGTCAAAATCAATGTCAGAGTCATTGTCCTTGAATAGTGTCCTCTATTTATGGTCGCGAAAAATATGCATTAAAGTTTCTTACATTAAATCTAATTCAAACACTATATTTAATAGTTTTTAAGTCACTTTTGTATTTTTCAATGTGAGCGAAAGAAAGGTATCTGAGTTGGTATATATTGTTATGAAAATACATGGAAAACTCATGGATATTAAATCACCATAATGATTGTTTAAATATATTTTATTTATTTCTGAAAATATGCGTGTACAAACTGTTTAAATCAATATAAAATCTAATTGAAAGCTTATATCTCTGATTTTGTGTAAAGAAAATATGCAATTAAATGGCGATTAAGCCATCATGATGTTTTTTTTATCTTTTTTTTAAAAACAGATGTTATTAATTTCTGATTATGTACGTCTACAAACTGCAATATTAGTATACATTTCAATTTAAATGATCTATTTATATTTTATTAGTCATTTTCGTATTTTAATATGTGAGCGAAAGTAAAATCTCTGAACTTGTGATATCGTCACCATGTTTGTCGTGTTGAAATTCTTCGCCGTATTTTAGTGCTTGTTTAGTGTTAATGTAAAAATCAATTAGACAATGTGCCGTATGAATTATCTGCGGATGTTTCTAAATTCAAAATTTCACCATTTTCGTGGTTAAATGTGGGTGGAGGGGGGGGGGGGGTCGTGCTATTTCTAGTACCGTCCATGAATGTGCTGAATGTAATTGAACCTGCAACATTTTCAATTTTGTTGTTTTAGGCGTTCTCTAGTAATCCTGCTTTTCACTTTTTTCACTTTTCACTCCTTCCTTAAAGTTTTTTTGTACTGAAAGTTCAGATCCATACCTCAATCTTTTGAAATTGCACAATTTTGTGCTTCATGTAAAATTTCCCATAGGCGGGGGACGTTGGCAATCTGTTCAATAGTTTGTAGTACATGTATGACTGTAGTAGTATATTATTCGTCTATTTTAGTTGCATTTTTAAAGCTTTATAGCCCTTGTTAGCTCGGAATCTTTTACAAAAAAAGGAGAAAGTCATTCCTGCAATGAAATTAGTTTTAACTATTGTTGCAGTTTCCTTTTTCACGTGCTTACCTATTAATAACAAGTTAACATAATTTTCTTTGTACAGTTTATTATGTAAAAACAAGAAACTTAATATATAGATCAAACTGTCCAACCAATCACGAATACGAAAGTCTAGTAAATTTTATATGGAAGTCGCCGATAAATGGCCTGCCTCGGAATAAATCTAAATTTATCGGAAGAAATTACAGCGTATCCAGAATATATTTGTATGTGCGCTAAACTTGTTTTGCAACGCGGAAAATATGATAGTTCCAAAGACTCTTTGTTTGAACTGCATTGGTTACCAATTAAAGCTAGAATCAATTTTAAAATACTATGTACAATGTATAACTGTTTTATGGGCAATGCTCCGGTTTATCTAACAGAGCTGTTACACAAGCCTGTCATAAAAAGACCGAATCTCAGATCTGTTGATAATATGGATTATTGTTTTGCTGTCCCCTTTAACAAAAGGAAAACATTTAACGACAGAAGTTTTAGTACCGTTGGTCCAACTCTCTGGAATAAATTGCCTCTGTATATAAGACAGTCTTCGACATTGGACATGTTCAAGAAAAATGTCAAGACCTACTATTTTAGAAATTGTTACGCATTGTTTTAAGATTGTGATTGGGCTGTAAACTCATCGAGA